AAGCAGGATCCAGGCTCTGACCTGGCAGCACAGAGCCTCATGCAGGGCTCGAACCCACGAACTGCAAGATCATGACCTGGGCTGAAGTCGGATGCTTAAATGACTGAGCCACCCAGGCGCCTCCCCCCCCCTCCCCCCCGACGGAATCTTTTAATTAGCAATGAAGTCTGATGAAAATTTAAAGAGACAAGTTGTTTTGCATTAATATAAACCATTAAAATTAGCCCCCATGATATACACTCAAAGAAAAAAATGTCATTTTGGTGGCATTCTTAGTGGCTTCTTTGTCTGACAAACTCTGCTTATGTTCTTACTTCACAGACAACCTCTTTACTTTCTACTTGTTTCTTTGAAGAGAGTTTCAAATCAAGCTTCAGGAAATGCAATCCTTGAAGTAAATCTGAGTACCTGATAACTCTGTTCCAGAAAACAATTCACTAGCTGTCATCTTAAAAGAATATCTTGGAGAAGAATGTTTCAATAGCTTTCAGGAGGCTTGCATTTTCCAATATTATATATTACCAGTGGCGGAATTCAAAGTCGAGAAGTATCTTGAAAATGCCCGTGCAACCAGAAATTCATGGAAAACGGATTTGAGCCTGTTAGTGCTCTAAAATCCCTTTTCTCAAGTAGATTTGAAATTTCTTAGTTGACATGTGTGCTGTTATTTCCAAGTACTTCAAACTGTGATAATTAAAAACATTTTTACTACAGCTTTTTTAGTGGAGAAAACCAAACACTTTCTATTATGGTATTAAAAACTAGTATGTTGTATTCATGTTTATGGAATCCTGGATTTATATCTCAGTTAAAATACTCAGGATCCACAGCCTTTTCAACGAAACAAGCTTTTTTTTTTTTTTCCTAAAAGCTCCCATTTGTTTCTAAAACAATAACAGCTATTGCTTGTTGCAAATTTGCTACTCATACTTCCATTCTGTAAGCCTTAAAAAACTATATATTTTATAGTACAAATGTTCACTTTTAATGTTTATTATTTATACTGTTCAAAGTTTCCCTTAATTATATTCAGAAATTTATGAGCAGTCTTTAATCAAACATTCCTCCAAGTTTATGTCACTAAATTAAAAAAAGAATCGATTCTATTCTGCTTTTAGTTTATAATCATGTAGTCCTTCCCAACTCAGTAATTTATGTCATTCCTGACATGCATTTTTCTAAAGCCTGCCTATAAAATTTCCTATGTGACTCACGAGGATTCTGCCAACAGGATTCCCCCAAACCACATCTTCTTCATCCCCTGTTGCACTGAGGAACCCCTCTGCCCTGGGCTTGGTAACTCTATCGAAACCACCTATACTCTGCCCCGTGTTCTCAGGGACTTCTTTGGTCAGAATTTGACAATATGGTAAAGTGTCCCATGCTACTGTGTACAATGATGTTCTGGACACCAATTTAACTATGACTCAGTGCACTGTAATTGCACTATAACCACGACCTATAAATCCAAGAGTTAATCCAAAAATTCATTTTAAAATGAGAATACTAGGGTATTTACACCAGTTAGTGCAAAGAGGGCCTTTGGGATGGGTATATAACCTTCTAATGCCCCTCCTATCATAACATACTTCTCTGAGTCATCCTTGGCTGTTAGGTTCATAATATGTACCTAAGATCTGAAAAGTAGCTACATTACTATCAGAAAATATCAAAGATACTGAAATAAATAATACCTACCATACTTTACATAGGTTGAAATGTTATTTAAAAATAGAATTGCAGCTTTTAAAAAATACTTTCCAAGGTAAAAGTTAATTGAGGTATAGCTTAAATTTATAAAGTATAAAGGGATCTTAGATTGATTTCCATTACTGTTTTAACTCTCAGTCTAGAAAATCTGGCTTGGGACAGTTCGGATTGAACAGAGTGGGATGTGTGAGTACATGTGAGTGTATATGGTATGATTACTAGTAATTAAATGCAAATTTATATCTCAAACATTTTGCTATTAACTACTTGCAATACATTAAGTGTAGAATATAGAGATCCTATAAATTATGATTCCAAGATAACAGAGATGAGCTGATAATAAAATATTTGAGACTGAATTTTTTGAGGCTGCATTTTTAGTGGTACCACTAAAACTAATTTGTTTACAATTTACATTCCTAAGGCTTCCCTCTAGCTTTAGTCTGAAAATACTGAGAAACAACAGACTTCCATATGACATTTCCCTATCTTTTAAGTATCTGTTTTAAATTCTGCCACCATATATTTTCAAAAATAAAGCTTAGAGTACTATCCTAGAGCTCTGTTTTCCCCGTACCTCCAGATACTCAAATCAGCCAATGAAATAACCCTCCGTACAATGAGCCGCATAAATTTTAACTCAGAAATTCAGCAATGTCCTGTTCAGATAATACACCCAATAACAGTAGCTCATTCCCAGTCTACTTGCCTGGGCTTCCTGAGGCATCTGAGCTGCGTCCACTTTGTCAGCAATATAAGCTGCCAACTGCTTGTCAATGGATGAGAGGGACTCCTGAATTAAGTGCAAGGATTTTTCGATCTCCTGGGCAGACTGGATACTCTGTTCAAGCAACTTTTGCCTCCTCACAGCCTAAAGAAAATAAGTGAGAATGAATCAGTGAAATGCTTACTCGTGGTAGTTTTTCTGCAACCCAGCTGCAAAGTAAATGAAGATTCTAGATTCTTCCACCATCACCTTTTTGTAAGATAGATTCCGCAGCTTCCTGCCACTCATTCAGCTCTGCTTACACAAATAAGAGTAAGAATGAGAAAAAAAAAAAAAAAAGGAATTAGCATACAGAACTACAGGATCAGGAATATAGGTAGGACAAAACCACAGAATTATGCACATCAAGGAAAGAGGGTGGAAAAAAACATTAGTGAAAGCATCTTGGACACTGCAATCTGTCGTTCTCAGACCGAATGTTCCTCCTGATCTCATTACATAGTTCAAGAGATTTGGTTTACTTAGAATAGGGTCATCGTCATCACAATCCAATTCAAGATGGATAATCCACTTCCACCAGTGAGACACATAGACAATCTGTTCAGAATCAGCTCCTTTTCAAAAGGAGAATTTCACATAGTCATCTGGTTATGGATTTATTTTAAATATGACTTGTACCCGTTTTCCATGGGCTTTTTCCGCCATTTTTTTTTCACAATTTGATTATGGAAATAACTTGCACAACTGGATCTGTGTTACTGCTGAGGCGGAACAAATAAGTAATCCTAATATAGCCGCAATTAATCTTGACTGTTACTATAGGTATGATTAAGATAATTTAACATTTTCCAAATATAAATAGCAATGCTGAACAGATTGCACAGTCTCCCTTCAAGGATCTGTTCACCTTTAAAAGAAGAGTTCTAAAAGTAAGGAATGGGACAAGGAATTTAATGAGAATTCCTTAAGTTATGCATCATACCAAGTATTTTTTCTTTCTAACACGATGTGTACACATGATTACCTGGTACAAGAGAACTATCCTTCCCACACACCATGAATGGGGTTTTAAAAATGTCCCTGCTTCTGATGAATACAGCCTAATATATAGACTTGTCAAATCACTACCCTGTACACCTGAAACTAATGTAACATTGTGTGCCAACTATACTTCAAAAAAAATATGTAAAGGAAAAAAGAATACATACATTGGCTCTGAAGCTTAAAATGTATTAGAGATACCATTATTCTTTAAGGAGGCCAACTGGGAACACAGTGTTACTCAACGGTGAATAAGGCTAAGAGGTCTGGACCAAGGTCTTGCACTGCGGCAGGAGCGGGAAGACATTGTCGGTATTTCTATTAGTACAGGAAATCTTCAGGATTTTGCCCCTGGCTTTCCTTTTTTCTCATTCCACCCACAGCTTTAGTTGCGCTGAGCCCTCTTAACGCTCCCATCTCTCAACACTATGTCTCCAGTCCAGATCTCTCCCTCGATCTCCTCATGTGCATCATGGACATCCCACAGCAACCAAAACAGCACTAGGACCACATATCGGCATCTTCTGCGTCCCCTTCTCACCTACTTATCACCTCTCCAACTTGTTTTTGCTCTCCCTCTGTACTTTTTTCCCTATTTCAGTGACTTACAATTATTCACTGCCTTTTTTAGGCTTAATTCTGAATATTCCCACTTCTTCTATCATGCCGTTCACCATTTTGTGTTTAATCCATCAATTCCCGAACCTTTCTTCTACCTCTTAATACTTTCTGATTCCATCCTTTTCTTCCACCCCCTGCCCCACCCCAACACCACTGTCATTACTCTAGTTGAGGTCATTATCACCTCTTGCCTCAAAAACAGTACATGCTTTTGGCTGGTATCCTATCCGATCATTACCCATCTGCAATGTAGCTATGGTGTGTTCTTTCTAAAATGCAATCATGGTTCTCTGCTTAAAATCCCCTAGTGAGTATTCGTTTTCCTGAGGATCAATGCAATACTCCTTAATATGGCTTTAAAGTTCTTTCATAGTCCTTGCTGGTGTCTTCTACTTCGTGCTCAAGCTACAGAGAAATTTTACTTTTCATTCCTGAACATGCACGATGTCCCTCTTGATACTTGGCCCTAAACATACTACTCTTCTTTCTTCAAACAACTCCACCCTAACTTCTTGTTATTGGCTAATTCACCTTTATCCTTTAACTCTTACCTTGGAAATGTGGACATCTCCCCCACCAGGTGGCTGTCCCTGACACCCTATGCTCTCCGTTGTACTCTGTATTGCTGGCTCAGCATGTATCACACAACACTGTAATTTCCCATTAATTTTTTTTGACCCTACTTCAGACTTTAAGTACCAATGTGATTAGAGACTGTGGGTGCCTTGTTCATTGCTCAATACCAGTTCCTAAAAAAAGACGAATACTTTTGTTCATGACTGAATGAATGGTGTAACAAAGCTTTTCGATAGGGAAAACAGAGAAGAGTTCAAATAGTTGAAAAATGGATTTACAAAAGAAATTGGGGAACAGGTCGCCACCAGACAGAAATATTGTCTGTAGAAAAGTTCTTCCAGTTTTGTTGTTTTGTTTTGTTTTGTTTTGGTGTGTGTGTGTGTGTGTGTGTGTGTGTGTGTGTGTGTGTTGGAATTAAAAGTATCAGAATACACCATTATTTAAAGAAAACTTTACTTCTATTAAAACACTTCATCCAAGTCAGTGACCAAGATCTTGCCCTGTAGTCTAATTCAAATATTGTTTCCCCTTTCTTTAGTCAAAACTTCAACTAGAAGTTACATCAAATCAAAATTCAGTTAACACTGCTCATGGCTATAATCAGAACTGTCTGTATTGTACAAGAGAATGTCTGTAGCCTAGCCAGACTTTCTGCAGAGAAATGGATCCCTAATGATAAAGTTTCACCACTGTGACAGGTGGCTGGAGAAAGCTTCCAATCACAGCACACAGTAACTGCCTACTCAGGCATTGTTTAAGTCTCATCCTTTATCCGTCTGAAGGCAAAAACAACCTACTGTCCTGTGCTTTAAGATAATAGGATATAATACAGCATAATGTTAAACAACATGTCTAGCCCCAAAATTATATTTAGAAATCTAACCTCTTCTAGTCAGGAGATTCTATGGATTGAAATAAATAAAATGACCTAAGAGATGATAGCAGAAGAGTTGACCTTAGGTAGGTTGGTTGTTTGCCTGGCCTGGCAGTCAGTAAGAGAGACTGATTTACATGGATTCTTTGATTTTCTGAGAGAGAGAAAAGACCTGATGTCAATCTAAGCTTATAGAATTCTTTGAACTAATGATGGCATAAGCCGCCTTCTATTTCTAAACATCTTGTTGGTCAAACCCTGATGGGATGCCAGGCCTGTGGATTGTCTAGGACCCTCTGGCCACTCAATCTGTGCTGTCTCACTGATTGGAGCTGGTAGGAAGATCTGAACCATAATCATTTTTTACTTGCTGGTCCAGAATATGGCTCAACTACTGTTTTAAAATGTTGTATCATGTCTTCAGCTAATCCTCTCAGCAGTAAGAGGAATCGTATAGATGAACACAAGTAGCAAGTATGAGGAGAGTTAGAAACACACCGAAAGGTTGGAAATCAACGGCAAAAATATAAAAGTACAAAAGTGAATCATAATGATGGTTAGGTACCGAAGATAAAAACATAACAAAATTTTCTTTTGGTTTTCAGAAAAATCCAAGGAAAACTTATTTAAACTAACCAATATACATGAAAATATATTGTTATTATTTCTTCAAAGTTTTCCGGAGTATAAAATCAAAAGCTGACTAATTTTTGTTGGCAACGGAAAGTTGTCTCCACAGTGAATTGTTTTGTACGTTCCTATTCTGTTTTAAGTAATAACCTTTGTGCTTCAATACTACAAACACTTAAATCAGAGAATGACATGGCTAAGAAATTGGAGAAATGAATTTTTCATTCTGGAAGAATAAATTTCTCAAGTGCAATAAAAAGTGGAAATTTGAACCAAAATAAAGAAAGGTATTTAAAATATGAATGCAGGTTAAATATAGTGAAACACATTACACACATTATCCCAATAGCTTTCTACAAATCATCACTCATTTAAGGAACTATATGTCCTGATATACTTATTAAAGTGGCTATACAACACAGTAATTTTTATTTCATTTAGTAAATAACAGACTTGACTGCAAGTCACTTGCAACTGCAAATAAGTTGACTTGACTGCAAATAAGTTACAAATATGGGTGTTTTTCCTATTAAAATAAGAACTTCTGTGAAAATTATAAAGATTTATTTCCCATATAGTTAAGCTTTCTAGCCAGCAGCAGATGCTTATTAAGCACATAATATGTTGCAGAAGTGAATTTCGGAGATAGTTTCTCACGATAGGAGATAACAACCAAATGAGAAAAAAATCTAGGAGAATGCAAGGATGAAACATTTTTTAGCCAAAAAAAGAAACAAGAAAAACAATCTACATGATAGGAATTAAAAAGTGCCAGGAAAGTGTTTTTGCCCAAAATTCCCTATCCTATACTGATGCAATTCTTCTCTTGGTTGCATACTCCACCAATTTAAAAAATATATGTATGGATTACAAAAAAAACTGCCAGAAGAGAAATTCCCAAGAAATTTAATTCATTCTGTAACATGAGTTAGTTTGAGGCCACAAATATAATTTCCTTTCAGGATCTGTGGGATATGGGTTTGGGAAGGGGAGAGATTTTGTCATTATTTTGTTTCTTCTTTTATGAGTATGTTATTGTTTTACCTGATTTGCTTTTGTTTTTGTTTTTTTTTTAGGCAGAAAACTGGGGAATAATTTTTGATGCCTGGCTATGATTGTGGGGGACCTAGTGGGCAGAGGAGGTTTTCACGAGGAAGCCGTTTGCTGTGGAACCCCTTGTGGAGGGGTACAAGAGTGATATAAGTCTTGAGGAAAGGAAAACATGACTGTGCAAAAGATGCACTTTGATATCTTAGCATCTTGCACAAACCTTTTTTTTTTATCCAATTATGTAATAAATATTCCTTGGTTCCTTACTATGTGCCAGGCAAAAGCAGCTCTCAATTTTTTCTTCATAAAGTATACAGTAGATCCAGGCTTAACAATGTAAAATTTGCCCTTT